AGACAGACTATCGCTTGTCGTTGCGAAGCAAGTGTCTACTTTTATATTTGCATATACTCTTTCGAGCTATTGAGCACTTTTAGCCGTAAATGTATCATAACATAAACCGATATTTTAATATATATATATATGCAAACAAAACCGATATAGAATGTATATACGCCATCATGTTTTTATCTATTAGCAGTGTATTATTATTTCATTATTACCTTTATCAGTCATGATCATACAGCAGGAAAGAGCGTGACAAGGGCGTGTCTTTGACTATTATTTGAATGCAGACAGGAACTCCTTGGGGGTCTTTTCACTTGTTGGCCAAGATTTTGTTGCGTGTGTCAGTGACTCTTCTGCTTCAGTGTCTAGACACTTCCGAACTTGTGGAGCTCCCTCTAGACCATGCTTTGAACAAGTGAAGTACTGTCCGCTTTGGTGTCACCGTCCCTATGTTTGATATGTTAAAGGTAGCAAAGAAATGTAAAAATATTTCTAATTTTACAAACAATTCATGCAGTTTACTGCGCTCAAATACTCCATAGAGACTACATTATTGTCTTTATTTGTTACTCTATAATATCTCCATTTGATAAATGGTGACGGAACATACATCGGGTATCAAATAATTCAATATTAATTGTTTTTATTCACTTTTGATATTAATAATATAATTTTAAACTTTTTTTATATGTTGAGATATCAATAATTTCTGTTTTTTTGTAACATACTGAATGTGAAGCGAAAAGTTTATATTTATATGTTTAACATATCATGAACTGGTGCTTCTGCTATTTATTTATAAATTATTGATTTTTATTGACTAAAAATTCAAAGGATCTGCAATATTAATGGTCCGGAACTTGAATCTCAGCTTCAGTCTCTTTCCAAAGACGGTAATGTAGCTTCTATGTGAATTTCTATTAACATTTTCATGGTAATTATTCTCATGAGATTTCCTCTTTGGGATAGGGACATTATGAAATTAAGCGCACTACTAGATTGGCAGCAAGGTCTCATATTACAGTTGTAATTTCGTGATCGAACTGCAAGTTTTCTGCTAGCAATCTCTCCTCTCGCGGTTCATTCCCGTGAAACTCTCTTCCGGCTTCTTGTTTTCGAGTATAGTTTTGCGGTCTTGCATTTTAAGATCTCTGACTAAATAATATCCCGATGTACCTCGGATTTTGTGGTCAGTTATGGATATTTTCTACCGTAAATCCTCTTACACTACATTCCTGAGTATGACGAATACTACATCCGGCAGATTGGAGCTTCTGGGGAGTATGGAACCATCTCTTAATTGCTGTTGTCCTCAAGTCCACCCTGAGCCGATGTGATAGCACCAGCTATGAAAAAAATAGCGTACCTCCAAACAAAGCAACATAGGAAAGTACAAACATTCGTTTTTATATACAAATACCAGGAATACATTTTTTTTAAAGAAATACTAACATTACCTATTTATAACAAAATTACCAACAATGCATCAACCAGAAATTTCTTGAAATTAATCCATATATACAACAATTTCTTAAAGAAATCAAACTGTATTCCAACAAAACAGAAAACGCAAATATCGCTGTCCACAAAAAAAATATATATATATGCACAAAAGCTGAGAATTATCTCCCATTTATTCAAGTGTGAATAATATTTTTATTATTTCGAAGCTCACAAGAAAATTATTTTTGTCATAATGTCTTAATATGCTGTTTAACAAACAAACCGCATCGACATTTTTATATTTTTGTGTGGAAAATATCTATTCTAATTGCTCATTCACTTTTTTATCCAGAATGATAAATTCGTCCTTAGAGTTGGTTCCACAAAACGAAAATTATTTATGAATCACCCTATTATTTGGCGACTAATGAAAACAAATGTATTTCATGTGAAGATGTACTGTATATTTATTCTTATCAAAAAACATATCAAACATAAGCGTTTCTATCTAAAACGGCAGGAAAAAAATTGCACGAATATAAAGGTTAAGAAAAAAGAAAATACATTTTTAAAATTGTAATTTTTATAATTATTTTATATTACCAATATCCCAAAAAATAAGATTTTAAAATTAAAGAACAGAGGGAAATGCATCAATTCGCTGGTTTCAAATTCAATATATTTATCTCTATGATAAACATTGAACCAGTATATGCATGATAAAGATGTGTTTTCTTGGCACTAAGTTGTCACATTTTCGTTTATTTTCTCTTCGTGAAATACGCATGCAAATAGTACATTTGCAGCTGTTTTTTCCAGCTGTAATTACAGGAAGTTACTCCAGCAAAGGATGTAACCTCATTTATCCAAGTATATCAACTTCCTGAATCATAGAATGATGTCTTAGTCATTCAAACTCTTATTATACCATTTGTAAATATCATCTGATGATATCCACTACGAAGTGCCAATTTAAAGTGTGTATAAAATAGGGAAAATATTTGAAATACGTATAAAATATTTATATATTCGTTTCCACTATCGTGAATCTCTTTGAAACTTAAATCTGCCCCAACCACTTACAGATAACAAAAATAAAAACTTTAATAGGACAATATTATTCTGTACAGTAGAATATGCAAGTGCACCCCTGTGCAAATTAATTGGAACACAATTAATAATTCCGTTATCATTTACTTTTTTTCGTATTTGTCACATAGAACATGACCAAATACGTATGTTAGTACGTCTCGTGTCTATTCCACGAAGTCCTTCCTTGCAGATTGACCGCAGATACTCGATTGGGTTTAAATCAGGAGAGTCTCCGGGTCAGTCTATAGTACTTTGATTTCCTCACTGGTATGACTTTCCAGTGTGTTGCTGTATCGTTACAATTTTCATACGTTTCCTTGGAGTAACGTCCGTTGCAGACAATGACCGTATGACAACTAATTGACAGTCAAGACAATAATGTCTGGGCGTGATAAAAATTTGATGCAATCACGGATGACGCAAAAATTTTCAAGGCCAAAGAAATTTCATTATACACCCCGAAAATAGATTCATATTACTGCACACCATTGCAAACGACCTAAAAATAGGAAAAATAGAAATCAATTACACCCTGTTACTCCAGTGGGTCTAAAACTGACAGCATGGTGAAAGAAGTGAAACTAAAGCGTCTGTTTCAATTAATTTGCACATGGGTGTAGATGGTGAAAAGTATTTCGTATTATAAAAGAAGAAACCTTATTTCAGTTACTTTTATTTGAATTTTTATTGATTGTAATTAAAGATTATATTTCTACTCCTGCTTCCGGGTAGACAGGCATGTCTATTCACATGTTGCTATTTTTCAAACTATTCAATGTTATTCCACACTTCTATTTGAGATGTTGGGAGTGTTTCCGCGTGTGTGTATTCAAATAAAGACAAACACAGATGTAGGGAAAAATACTGGTATATTTGAAGAGGTATTTAACAACAGAGTCATTAGTAATAACGAACGCAGGTTAGGAAGTAACAATCAGCAAGAGTCTACAGACCAACGGTATCTTCCGGTCGAGAGACGGAAGTGCAATGGTCACCTGATCTCGTAATCTCCAGATCTCCCCTGATCTCTCTAGCACTGACCTATATCGTAGAGAGATCAGTCCATTCTCAGTCAGAAGTTGGCTGCACCCCAACACTATTGTTATTTTTTTTTCCTGCATTAGCTTATTCTAACATGTCTGGTTATACCAAATTCTTTTTCTTTCATTTTGTTCGCCTGAAAACAAATTAATTCTAACTGAATTGATCAAATTACACTTTTATTACAACACGTCTAGCAATTCCAGACTTCAGTGTAAATTAATAAGTTTAACTGCTGTACCAGAGAATTTATCTAAAAAACTTTTCTGAACAAAATTCAGTCAGTATCTTTTGCAAACCTAATGTTATATTAATTGTGTTTAAATATCAATAGGTATCATCAACTATAAAATAATAAATATTCATTTCTAAACTGTCAAGCCGAATCGAGTGGTATGAGGTTTCGGGAATGCTCGATCTTCTTCACTCGTGGATGTGAGGAACACATCACCTCTCGTAATTTGTGTGTTTATATCAACTCATATCATCTTAATATCAGTTAATATCCTATCTATACTTAGTGGTTATGTGGTCAATATATTCGTGAACGTTCGAGGATATTTTGTTGTTATCTTACGTGGTTATATTTTAAGCTGAATCGTGTATAGAAATCTTATTTAGTTCAAAGGTTCCCGATGTGTATTAAATTCGTCTCAAGCCCCTGCTATTTTCTCGCTTGTATCACAGACAACAGGAAAATTCATGAAATTAACGGGAAATATCTTCTCATGCTAAGGTATATTTGCCAATAAATATGGCCGACTACCAGTTTCCGGGCACACCCGTACGCCATGGTAACTAGCTTATCGCTTAGGCAAATAGATACAGAGACCTTCTGTAGTTTATCCTTAAACTATGTTGAGCGAAGCTTAATTAAAATTTGTGGTAGAGAGGACATAATTTGTCGTGATTCGAAGGCCTGTATACTCGGTTACGGCGAATTTTGACTTCATTGTTACAATCATTGCCGGATTCTGATTAGTTCCGTCTAACCAATTTCACTCACAAGTTTTTAGTCAAGCGGTTGATTTTTTTTTTCCTGGATTTTTTCTACCTGTGGTATAGTTTTCAGTTACCGTCCCAGGGTGAAGTCCGTTTGGAAATCCTCCTCAACCAGATAACATCAAATAACCTCTCTGATAAATCGACTACGGGGGTGGGGGCAGTCGAAATTACGTCTGATAATCGGAAACGTTCTAACCATTTTGCTGCGCGTCCTTAATCACTGGGTACTTAATTGTGACCTCTTCAAAACCAGAGGTAGTATTTTTTTCTTTACTTCTGTGAAGGCTCGATCGAAATTGTGACTAGAAAGACTGTAAGCAGAGGAACCACGTTTCTTGCAGTTGTAGCACCAGAGAATTTGCCAAGGAGAAAAAAGACAGACGGAACCCATCCCGCTTCAGGTTTCTTTTGAATCTAAATATGACTTACGGCCATATCATGTTGAAACACCAGTTCTCGTACGGTCGCCGAAGTTAAGCAACGTCGAACCTGGTCAGTACCTAGATGGGTGGCCGCATGGAAATAGCAAATGTTATAGTACTAGAGGTCAGAGAGCCGAGTTCCAATTACAGTTCTATTCTTTACGTTCACTTGCAGGCAAATACCCATGGGAAATTCATGAATACGCCTCCTCTCCCCGACTATAGGTTAATACATAGTATAAGTAAAAAAATACTTTTAATACATTCTTTCAATCGAAATATATTTTTAGGCTTTAAATAACCTGCGAAAGATAGACAAGCCGTAAAAAATAATCAATTAATAAAAGGAAATTAAAGTTTTCACTCTTCTAGACAGGTTACCCTAACAAGCTTAAAATGGACATATTACATTATTCATCATGAGAACTTGAACAGAGGAATTCTTTTCTCTTAGGTCGGTGCCACCCCAATTAAGATAGAAATGACTGACCTGATATAATTGACCTTCTGTTGCCAGTCTAATCGTGTGTGCATGAAAATAAAATCTTATTTGCGAAATCAGATGCGAACAATTGGCAGATCGTCAATGTGACAAATTGTTTCCTTCGTCATTTAGCAATAAAAATATTGAGTATTTCTTAATGAATATGTTAACAACACGTCGACACATGGAAGTCAGGTTTAAATTTTAGCTAATTAACACGTTATTTGTCCAATTTTTCTATGCCGAATATGAATAAGCACTAAAAAGAAGACATAGGAAAAAGCCTCTTTGCAAAAACGAAGACGTGAATAAAGTTTAATTGATCTGATTCACGAGGAGCAAAACATTCTATTGAAATCCTCCAGAGAGAATTAAAAAAGAAATAAAGTTTTGGATCGAATAATAAGTGATTATGTTTTTTGAATATACAGCGAATTAAATTATGTTCATTAAATCATTTTTGCTCTTTAAGATTATATGCAGTGGATATACATGTTAACAAATTTACACTATTTACATTTTTCGCACTGTTACCCTAATCTTTCTTGCCATATTCGCAAGGTTTCGGCCGTTGTACGCTCCGATCTTCTTCAGCTGAATCCTTTATTTCGTCCACAGGAGTAAATAGTTCCAGTTCCATGTACCATGCCTATTCTGGATATATCAATTTTAGTTATTTCCTTTATTGAAGCGTTGGGTGTATTATCGAATTGAAGTCACTCAATAAGACATATATTAAACGAATTGAAAACTTTAAATAACTTGGATGACACAATATGGTTCCCAAAGACTTCAACATCCGCAAAGCTCTTGCATGGGATGCGTGTAAGAAAGTTCAAAAGATTTGGCGGTCGAATTTTCCATCCTCTTTAAATGTTCAAACTTTTCGACCATTGGTTGAACCAGTCCTACCTTATGGATCAGAAACTTGAACGTTATTTTCTCGCCTTGAAAGACGACTGAATGAAACATATACAAATCTACTTAGAAAAATCCAGAACATCAGTTGGAGATCCCATGCAACTCTTAGTTGAAGAAGAACTTAATTCAGTCTTTTTTTTAAGCTAAAGTACGTCTACAATGTGCTGGCCCCTACCACCGAGCTGACAGTGAAATCGTCTTATCATTACTCCTATGGTATCCTTCTAAACGAAAATTTACTTTCTAGACAACATAGGTCAGGACTCAGCGTTGGACATTGGAGACCTGGAGACAGTATTACAAGACCAAACAGAGTGGAAAGGGACCGTCAATGGAGTTCCGGCCAACCATAGATTGGTCGAGAGATAATGATGATGAAGTAATCTCGTGACTAGACCTAAAAAGCTCTGAGTTCAATATCTGGCTACAGCAGAGGTGAACAATAACTAGAAAAGTTGAGTTAAATGGAAATAACTGATAGTGAGATATCCGGAAGAGGTATGACATGTGGAACGAGAACAATCTACCCCGGTAGACGAAATAAAGGTTTCGATTCGTAATTCCGATCATCCGAAGAATGTCGGTGCATACAACGACCAAAACGGTGTAAATATATCAATAGGAAAGAATACAACAGTCCGAATAATGCCAATAGTGTAAATAAGTAGAAGACTTCATCTCAAATATATATATATATATATACCTGGTAATGTTTATCAGTTGAACAAAAAGTTCGCGTGCCTTACGTGAATTTATTAATTTAACATACACTTCTCTTGTCAATTATTCAAAATGCATTTCTCTCTTCGAATATAGTAAAGAAATAATTTGCGATGGACGTCTGTGAAAAATGGAGCAACGCATCTCTACATTGAAGATGTAGAGATGCACAGCAGTTATCAGTTGTCTAACACTTGCTAAATAATTTCGTAATGAATGTTTTTTTAAAATAATTTATTCTTTATTATTTCCTTGGCTGTGTTACTAAACTATTCTAATTTATCAAAAACTATTCGATGGTTCCTTTTGTAAAATGTCAGCGAAAGTGTTCCAAACCGTTTTAGTAAAACGAAACTGATTTACTAAAAATTAAAATGATTTCAATGAATTTTTAATAAAATACCTGCCAATGATTTCCATGGCATTTTAGCGAAATGAAACTGATTAATGAAAATTAAAATGATTTGTATGAATTTCTATCTATAAAAGGCAGGATGTGTGTGTGTGTGTGTGTGTGTGTGTGTGTGTGTGTGTAACGAATGTACGGCCGCAATTTTCGACGGATTTGCACCGCAGAACTTGGTTGGTTGTGAAAAAGCATTTGTTGTTAACATTCTTTTTTTCATTCGGTTTTTCCAGTTACGAGTCCTTTTTTTTTTTTTAAAGCTGATCGTTTTGTGTTCATTTTGTTTAGTTCTTTTTTCGTAACAGATTTAATGCTTAGTATAGAGATTAGAAAAAATTGGCAGTGTGAGATAGGCAAGAATTAAGGCATGTAGCAACATCAGCACGGCAAAGGGCACTCCTTTAAAGGCAAGGAAGGGCAAAAATTATTTAAGTAAAATGATTGCTGTATGAGTCGTACGATTTTTGAATCAAGCACTGGCAACGTCGGGCCATGCTGCTAGTAAAATGACAGTGTAGGATTTCCATGAACATATAGTAAGGCTAAACTATTGTATTAAAAACTAATTTAATTTGTATGATTTTGAAGTAAAGCTAAAATGATTTAATAAACATTGAAATGTTACCCTTGGATTTTTAGTAAAATTCTAGTAAAAGATAATCATTGCCTTTTAGCAAATATAAATTTATTGAGTAAAACTTAAAATGATTTCTATGACTTTGGGAAAATACTAGCAAAAGATACTCTTCAAGTTTAAAAAGATTTTCAACATTCAACCGATTTTTCATTCCTGACTAAGAGACATCCACGCACTCTGACATATAAACATACACATTTAAGTTAGCATCGGAGACGAAGAACAAGAAGCAACGGTGGAAAATTCATTGAAGCCGAGTCGCCAGGTCTGGATCAATAAAATTGCATATACTACTTTGGATTTTATCAAGAATTTCTAAATACATAGCAGGAAATCCAGAGTAGATCTGACATCATTATTCAATGCATGGATGTAGCGTAGAATTATAAATGTCTAAGATAGTTTCTGACGTGTACCAACGGTTCTAGCTGTAGACCAAACAATTTATTCCATATCATTTTTTCCATTTCCTGTCAGCGGAAAAAAAGTTAGCTCGACAATGAAACACAATCAACTATGAAAACGCATGAAGAGGATTGCATATGAAAATTTATAATGTTCTACCCCACCGCGGGGAAGAAAGAAAATGCCGAAGATTTCCGTAAAATTTATACTAAAGTCTTTGATTAATTGCAATTACTAACTAATCAACTGACGCAAAATTCCGTGATGAGTGCGATACACATTGTGTTACTCACGTTATATTAAGTTCACGATGGCTGTTTCTTATTCGGTTTGTTATGTTGATTATCAGTACAACACATTTTTGATCTTATTTACTAATCAGCTGAAGAAAACATTATTTTTATCTGATGGTACTCTTATATGTATGAGAATGCATTTTCTTTTTTGTTTTTGGAATGTATCAAAATCTGTTCTATTAGCATTTATATTTTAGTCAGTATGAATGACAAAGTCCAAAAAAAATGGAATCACTATTATTATTATTATTATTATTATTAATCTTCAAAAACATAAATGCAATGTCAATCGGCATCTACTGTCCTATTGATTACTCTTCTGTTCTTCTCGCTGTTTAGTAACGTTTCTGTTTCTAATTTATTAACACCCTCGTGTCTTAGTGATTTTAATGTCTTGCTTGGGGTGAAATCGAAATAATAATATGGATGATAATAAAAATAATAATAATAATATCGATAATAATATTAATAATAGACACACTTAAGGGATACCTGGTAGTCCATGTCTTAAAGAAATACAAAAAAAATGTACTAACAATTACAGCTCAAATTTTACGAAGAGCTTTATCTCTGTAAAATGTGCGTGATCATGCCATTAACTTAATTCAGACCTTAGGTTTCTGCTTGAGAAACGGAAGGAATTGTGTATACAACAAAAATCAAAGAAAAAATAATAATAATAATAATAATAATAATAATAATAATAATAATAAATAAATAAATAAATAAATGAATCCACTGGTGTGCAAGAGAAGCCCTGGATAGATTGAGCTCGACGTTGTGCTATCTTTGGATAAGAATATCTTAAAAGCATTGCAGGTGAAAATACAGACTCATGAAAACCTTTTTTTAATACTTTCACTTCAAGCAAGAAAGTGTGAGATTATATGTGAGAAACACGCGCTATTGACAAGGAAAAACATTAAAAGAACAGGAACTAAAAAGACAGAAGATAACGATTTACGTTGCATTAAAATATTTGGAGGAAAACATTGACCGACAAGAAAGAAACCTCAAAAGAGTTGCACAAACAAGAAGAGAGAATAAAATGAAAGCATAGAACTTACGAATACATCTAACCATTTCAACTGCAAAATGATTATACCTTGTAGTCAGCCTAGTACTGCGATTAAATTCATAAAGTCTGGGCACTTTAGAGGAGAGTTCATCAGAACAATTACCATGAAAGAATTAATAGAAAATGCACAGGTAAGCTACGTTACGGCGGTGGGAACGTGACTGA